CACAGTTTTTACAGGCATGAATTGAAAATTAATGTCAGAAAGTGCTCTCAAAAATTGACCACATGTGGCGAGCAATGCTCGCTTGAATACAAATACAATGTTTCTTATCATTGATTGCTCGTGTAAAATTGACTGTAAAATGATATTAATGGGAAATTACACTTGTTCTCGAAGTATTAATGAAAAATCGCACTTGTGTTTGGCGAAATATTTATAATACCGCTCGTGCTACGCACTCTCGGTATTATAAATATTTCGCCAAACACGCGTGCGATTTTTCATTAATACTTCGAGAACCGTGTAATTTCCTATACTAATATCATTGATATAATGTTACAGAAACTGTACAATGTACCTGACTATTTCTTTTCTGTACTGGCAATCTTCAAGTCCTTTCGTTCATGATTGCATTTTACCTTAAAATTGAAGCTTTTGAGAATGAAAAATAACGTACCTACTTTATATACTTAGAGTTCTCTAGTTCAAAGTGTTAAACTTCAATTGTCAGTTTTGCCGTTTTGTACAAAAAATGGAAAATTAAAAATTCAACATCGTGTTGCAATGGCTGACATGACGCGAGCTCAGTGTTGAGGCTCGTTCAAACTACACAACGATAACGATACGGTAACTGGTATATACGCGCGCTGACTGGTCAAAAAATTTATCGTTATCGTTCGAATAGTTGACATGTTTTATATAATAAGTTTTCCATAGTCTTTGGGATGTGTTAATTATTTTGGTTTTAGGCATACATATAAATACTTTGACATTCTCAAAATTTCTGAACTGCGATGAAAATTGTACTTTGATTTTCATCCTTGTATTTATGCAAATATTAAATGTATAAGTGTTAATAACGCCTTGATGTGGCTTTCAACCGTAGGCACGATGGACTATAGTTACATGAGACTGCAACCACTCCGCACTTTTTATCAGTTGCACAAAACTGAAATCTTTTATTCTCCATCTATATACCTGTACTGAGTGGGATGCTGGGAGCATTGAATTGTTAGAGGAAGAAAGGTATCTCAGATTAGATAAAGAAGTAAACCATGCATTAGTTGTTAACCGCTAATTTGTAATTACTTCTGCCCAAACGAATATCCCATGGGATTAGTTTGAGTTTTTTCCTAACTTTGTGTTTTGTGAGTTTAATGGTCCGGATTTTTCAAAGAATTACAACAATGTGAATTAACATTTGTTTTGGAGTTATCATGGGAAAGTATCAAGTGCCTTTCTAAAATATTGAATATTTGACAATGGATTTCGAAGTTATATTAATTGTACTGTCCATGCGTATTACGGTATAAGTTTGTTCGCTGTGTTAAGGCCTGATTCCACGGGCGCTTTTTCTCGGCGAAATGCGAAATATTTCGCCTGTTTCTTTTGAATTGTGGGCAATCAAGTAGAAATAATTTATTCGAGTGGTCGCAATTCAAAAGAAACAGGCGAAATATTTCGCATTTCGCCGAGAAAAAGCGCCCGTGGAATCAGGCCTTAATACCAGACGATCATTCTGATAACGTGTTGTCTCAAGCAATCAGAATTAGCTCGTTCGCCACGTAGAACGGTATGTGATTTTAATATTCGTTTAATATCAAAGGAGAATTAACGATATGCTGTCTCCACCGATGAGCAGACCAGTTTCTATGCGTTTGGACAAATAGACCGTTTGTTTAATTAATGAAGCCATACGTTCTTTTTCATTGAGTTGTGTTTCATTGTTACATGTTAATTACTGAATCAAAATCGCTTAGGTGAACGATTTTAAAACCGTTGTCGTTATAGTTAAACGATTATTTTATCGTTTTCGTTTTAGGGTGGACACCGAAATATTTTTTGTGACCAATCATCACGTGTTCACAAGTTATCGTATGGTTGTCGTTGTGTATAATGCGACCGGGTTTTAGCATAATTTAGAATAGGGAGTTTGGCAACCTAGACGGCAACGGCAAAAATATAATTGCCTATATTGTTGTATTTGATCTAAAGTATATACGTTACTAAACTTAATTTGCCTCTTTAAACATTCCTGTTTCTCTCAAACAGCCCTTAAGTTAAGTAAAAATTGTCCGCGAATTAAAATAAAACACCTCAAATAACACCGAACGAGTTGACTGTTGCCATAGTTATGCACCGTAAAATGATGCAAATCACGTACCAGTTCCAACAACTAAGGGCATTGCACAACGCTTCAGACAATGTAATTTACATTCGTCTTTGCCTTTGAGGATCAATCGGAAAGAAAGAAATGCTATTGCAGTCGCCCATGAAGTTCAGACACTTCAAAAAGAATTATGTTGCGGTGGTAAAAATTGAGCGATGTACCGAAAACTTTGCACCTTTTTAATTAACAACTTTTGGCCTTTTTTTTGTACAGATGGTGCTGATATCCAAACAAATCAATTGCCAAGAGATCAAAAAATTGAGCTTTATTGCAACAAAAGTCATTGTTGGCATTTTTATTTTGATACATTTCGGTACAAGTCTTGTCATTAGTAATGATGATATCTCGTTTTGTCGCAAGCGGTTGAAAAAAATCAGAGAGGACGAGAAGTACTGGAGTGAAAGATGCTTAAATGGTCAAAACTTTGATTTACCGTGTTGTAAAGCAGAGAAGGAATACAATCTCGAAAAGAGGTGTATACACACAAAGACATACTTTTACAAAGGTAATGACTCCACTTTTTCAATGTAGCTTGGATGTTTTCATCACTCTGACGCATCAAAAAATATATAAAGTGTTGGGCTATCTATCCCAAAACATTTGGACATGTGATTGTAGATGCGAAATAAACGCTGAAAAATTGCTGATAATTGTAGACGCTGATAATTGTAATAGGACTTGATCGACGTCATTTGATCGAAACAGTCCTCCGATAGTATTCGGTAACTTTGGAATTTATGGTTACTTTCGAACTTTCTGTACTCTCAGGTACATTAATGCCTGGGTCCAAGATTATAAATTCAAGAAAAATAGATTAAAATTTGTAAAAAGTTAGTTAATTAAGCCTTCAATTGTTACCGTTCAAATATTATAACATTTTTCAAGACAAGGGCTTGAAGTTAAGCTACATTTTGTTGTCATGGCAACGATCACGTGACATATATCACGGATAATTAAGATAATGTCGGCATGTATGCAGCGGCTAAACACGATACTACTGTCATTTCCATGGTGATTTGTATAACAACATGGCGGGCAAAGTCAGAATCAAGTTTTTATTTGGTTTTTACCTTTCTTAGCCAATTTTTTGTATTCTAACAATAAATTAACGCGCTCCAAATACCATAATTATACCAATTGCAGACGATATTACACAAAATATAACTGTGTATATATTATATGTTTCTGTAATAAAATTAAAAGCACTTCGGCGCTATTTGACATATTCGCCGAGAGTGAGATTGTAAGAACGTTTTCTCATAATATTCAGCGCCAGATAGGCACAAAAATGTATATTCATTTAAGTGGCTTATCGAGTTATCACAAGATCAGTGACGCAAATCCGCAAGTTTCAAATTTGGCGCAAATTACAAAACGTTCTACAGCTGTAAAGAACGCAATCCTTTGGTCGGTAAAATTGAGTCTATTTTCTTCATTTTACACAGTTAGTACTTTGATTATCTCACCGCGTTTGAGGCAAGACGTTTCTCAATGTGTGGGACGTTCCTTCATTCTTCGACGCGCGGCTTTGCGCTAGGAGTTGCTTGGCAAGTGTCAGCGCAAGTAGACGCAGATGAAAATCTAAAGTGCGAAGAGAACGAGAAACGAAATTAAGAATTATCTTGTGCGCTTGCTGCGCGAGAAATATGATCGCTTTAGTGTCACATTCCAATGTTACAAGGAGAATTTTGCCGTTGCCTTTCAGCGCTTTCAGAAAATTTTTCCACCACTTCGCGAGAAATTTAGTTGATGGAATTATAGGAAGATTGCAGAGCGTAATCATTACACGGCGATATTTGACATCGAAGCTTGGAATCACATGCAACTTCCCCCGCCGATGCAAGTTAAATTAAACATACGTTCCGAAATTGTAAGTAATGTCGGCTGAAAATAAATTCTGAAATATAGTCAAATACAAAATTTATTTCCTATCAAATGCAAGAGGTTCATCGGCTTAATGAAGGAGAACAATCCCAAAGTCGCGAACAAAGCCATTAAAGTCCAACTGCCAAGTCAACCAAGGAAAATGACTCTCTGTATAGCAGATGAGACTGCAAAGTCTTTATACGACAAGGAAAACCTAGCACGGAAACTTAGCACAAAATGGTGGTCAAATTGCTTTTGAATGGCTGAAATCAGATAGACCTGATGTGGAGGGATTAAGAAAAGGCAAGCAAGAAATGATGCTGGGAATGTCAGAATAAGATTAAAGAGGGGTGCAGGTGGTGAAATCACAGTGCCATGTCCTAAGTCTAACAAAGGTGTACAAGATAAATTGAAGAAAAGGTTTTGTCTGGTGATATTAATGTTGGCGAGTTAATTGTGCCAAGAAAAGTAATTAAAATTAAATTTATTTTATTAAGTTTCACTGGTGATTTCAATGGAACATACTTAATGTGCGGTAATAAGTGTTCCCATTCTTACATTACAATACATAATTATATTAGTGTTATATATTATTTAGTGAAACTAAAGAAATAAATATTAAATATTAAGAACTGATCATCAGTGTGGGCACTGATTAAAGTTATTAAAGTTAATATATAATAAATTATTGCCTAAGGTTAATCATAAATTCTTTCTTTTCTATTACGAAAAGCTAGTGCTCAATGATGATGGTTTTGTCGCTAGGTCTGAATTTTATGTGGAAGGACACACATGGCCCCCTTGGATGGAGTGTGTGAAACAGAAATGAAAGGACGGTTGCAGAAAATGGGAAAAACACGACACTTGCTGGTATGGAATGACCTCTCTACTGTGGCTAACCATTCACACTTTGTATTTATGGCAACTTGTCTGTATGATCCTGCAACATTTTACACCAGCAGTGAATATGAAGCTAACAGGAAGAAAGGTGAACATCCAATCTCTAGTTAAATCCCCCAGCTTATACATAGTAGCAAGACCCTCATTCTCTGACGCAGATCAGTTGTGCTATATTGATACCAGACTGGAATGTTTGGAGAAACTTTGTTCTGAAGTTGTAACAACTGCGTCCGGTGAACCGCTTATAGACAAGATGAGGTTCTTCCACGGCCACAGCCCATCACGCCAATATGAAGCTAGTCAGCAAAAAGGAGGAAGTTACCATTGTGCTGTGTGTGGTGCAAATGCTCACCGTGCGTATGAACTAGATTATGTGTTTCGTTGCCCACATATGTCTCTGGGTGATCGACAGCGATTGGTATTAAAGGGCCCATGTGGTAAGGTAAATTCCTTACCACTTAGCAAAATCAAAGAAACATTTCACGGACTGACAAAACTCTTTGATGGTGATAAGAAGAAAGAGTTGGAAGATCTACTGAAGATGGAGTTGCACGGAGTTCAGCGAGTGCCGGCATAACTTTTCACGCATCCTGACAAAACCTTAGAATTGATTAACTGTGCTAGTTATGAAATTCTAGGTTGAACCCCTTCATAACATTGGAAAGCACATTGAAAAATAAAAACCGAACGTCCTGACCATTTACCAACAAATGAAGCTTCTAAAATTAAGGCTGTTCTAGAATTATCCATTTGGGGTAATGAAACAAAGCGGACGATTGATTATCAATGCGCTTTGCTTATGGTTTCAAATCATATTCGAGACATCGTTAATTAATCCAATGGTCCAGTCGTTACTTGACACCCTTGTGGAAATTAAAGAGATAGACACAAGGAAATCACATAACGCAGGAAATCGCATTTTCGAGGTCCTAGACTTCAAAACTTCCCGGGGAAGGATTACCCCGGACCCCCTAGAAGTGCGAGGTTTAGTGCATCAGTCAAGAAAACCAATGGATCCGACCCTGAATGTACCGCAATGTTCGCTCAAAAATTGAGTAAAGTTCTGAGTGACTGTAAAATCCAGGCGCCTGACAGTAGGAATCCCCAAATTCCCCGCTTCCACCTTCTGTAAGGTACATGGTGACTCAATGCGATCCAGGTTTATCGGAAGGATCTGTGTTAAGAATACACCCTCTAGGTTTTTTTCTTATTTCGTGAGGTAAACGATCTGATGGTAAAACGTCCGTAAATTCCGTCTTTGTAAATGAATCATTCTTGAGAATGTTCATAATCTGTAGCGAGTTTATATTCAATTGTTAAAATCACACAGTACGTTCGCATCCGCACCGGTTCACATCAATTTCGATAAGAATTTGAAATCCACCAAGCACCACGATATTTATAGCTGTCTCCAAAAGTGTTTCAAATCGACATTCAAATGACACATTTCCGTTTTTAATCGGTTGTACATGATCACCAATGCATAGGTCTGGAGTGAGATCAAACACAAACAGTGTATAGCCGTTTGCATATTGTTCACGAGTTATACCGTTGCCCTAATTTTAAAAAATCTTGTGTTTGCCAGCATACAGAGTTTTAAAACCAGAGATGTAGATACTGTCTGTTCCAAATTTCAACTGTAGTCAGGGGCGACGCTAACCCTCTTCGAGCGAGGGGG